GAAGGTTTCCGAAGAGTCTAGGCCACGTAGAGCCTAGGTCTCACACCCTCCAGTTCCCAGTCTACTGCTTCTCATGGGCTTGCATTGCTTGGTCAATCACAAAATTTTCCAAGTTTTCCTTTGGCCAGAAGTTAAAAGAAGGTTTAAGCCTCAGACAGCTATCACAGTGAAACAAATTTCCCAAATATTTCAGTGCAATGGTTCTCAAAGGATAGGAAGTTGCCTTAAAAATGCAGAATTCTTGGCGGTTGTAGACCCACTGAAATGGAATCTTTGCAGATAGGGACCAGGATTTTGCATTTTAAAAAGCTTCTCAGGGGATTCTGGTACATCCTAAAGTTAGAGAACCATGACCTTTGAGAAGAAACACTTGATTTGTGATGGAAAGGAAGAAGCTTTCCATCTGCAAATTAAAAATAATCCTTATTAGTGGCAGCTAATACTAAATACTATTAATGAAACTAAAAGGAAATAAGATTTGCTGTGTGGGAGGTAGTACTACAAATTTATTTCCAAACATATTTATTATGAAATGGATGGCTACATAATATGAACAGGTGCATGCACATGTCAGGTGGATCATGTTACTCTTCAACACATACACACAGGAGTGTGCACACATACACACACTCACTGTCTCCCAAACTGCATTCCCTTGGACTAGTAGATATGTATAGAAGCATGCCGTTAGAATGTTGGTTTCCAAAGACACAGGTTTCATTGAAAAAAAGAAATCAGATGAAGCCAGTTACATTTGAAGTATAACAGCAAAAATTACCCCTTTACAAGAAACAGAACAAAATACCACAAAAATAATTTTATTAGTGACAAATTGACAATACATGTATTCATGACTTTGTTATAGATCATTGTTTCAGGTTGGTGCAAAAGTAATACGGTTTTTACCATTTTAAAAGTAATGGCAAAATCCACAATGACCTTTGCACCAACCTAGTAACTAATAAAGAATCAAATGCAAAGAAATCATCACCATCATCTCACTGCCCCAACAAAGGTCTCATCATCTCCACTATGCTCCTTCCCATCTGTGTTTGATGCAGATGCATATGTATTCTAAATGTTATCTCTGGTCACAGGACCCTCAAATTCTTTTGAATGGGCCTGGAGCTTTTCTACATCTTACATAAAGGGCTATGAAAAACCTATAGTAGTTCATGTTGCATTTTTCAACTAGATTATCACCCTTAGCCCATTGTATGAAAACTCTGAAGGTGTTGTTGAGAAGGTGCAATTTTGTATTTTGCTTTTTGTTGACTACCATTATAATAGACAGTGCTCAGTTATCCTGTTTTATTTCATTGCTTGTATCGTATTACCAGACCATTCCTTTATGTCTGTATAAATATTATAATTGTTTCACTTTTTTTCTTCTAGTAATTATCAAACTAGTTGGTTATTTCTGGAGTAGGAGTTGGGGAGGGAGAAGTTTGGCAGAAACGTTATTCATGCTCTTTGGTTATTACAAGAAATAGTGTTCTGATTTACCAAACATTCTTTTCTTGCAAAATGTTACTTCTGCTACCTTCAGTAAGTGTTAAATGTGGAAACATGAACTAATATGTATTGGGAGCATTGAAAAATATGTTCGTGTATTGTTCTTACCTATAAGCACATATATATTCTTTACATTTTCAAATGTAAATCATCTCACACAACTAAATAATATAAGCACTGATTTCAATAGATACAATTTTTAAACTCTGTTATTACCAGACCCCTTATTTTTCAAAGAGGCCAACAAGTTTGGATTTGGAATTTGTATTTTCATTCTCTTTTCAAAAAACACTATACATTTTCTAACCCAAAGATCTCACTCTTCTTTTATTTTTCACTTTTTAAAAAATTATTATACTTTAAGTTCTGGGGTACATGTGCAGATCTTGCAGGTTTGTTAGTTACAGAGGTATACACATGCCGTGGTGGTTTGCTGCCTTCATTCCCCTGTCACATACATTAGCTATTTTTCCTGATGTTATCCCTCCCCTATCTCCCCACCCCCTGCTATCCCTCCCCTAGCCCCCCAACCCCAATAGACCCCAGTGTGTGATGTTCCCCTCCCTTTGTCCATGTGTTCTCATTGTTCAACACCCACTTATGAGTGAGAACATGTGACACAAGAACATCTGTTCTTGTGTCAGCTTGCTGAGAATGATGGTTTCCAGATTCATCCATATCCCTGCAAAGGACATGAACTCATCCTTTTTTATGGCTGTGTAGTATTCCATGGTGTATATGTGCCACATTTTCTTTATCCAGCCTATGCTTGATGGGCATTTGGGTTGGTTCCAAGTATTTGCTGTTATAAACAGTGCTGCTCTTTTTTTTTTTTTTTCAGTAGAGGGTTTTACCATGTTGACCAGGCTGATCTCGAACTCCTGACCTCAAGTGATATGCCTATATTGCCCTCTCAGAATGCTCACTATTATAATATTGTTTCAGAAATACTATAAGCAAAGTTCTCATTCCGTCACCAGCAACAGACCTCTTTGAGCTCTCCTTGAAACCACCAGTTCCTTGCTATCTCTATTTCTAGAAGACCATCTGCCTCCCATTAACAAACTTCTTCCCCCATAATTCTGGATCATATGATGGACTTACAAGTTGAATTGCTAAAATAAGAATTTGTAGGAATTAACAGATTTTTCTTCCATCTGGACTGATTAAGGTATACTCTAGCAAATACAAATTAAATATGCTTACTTATTTATTTTTGAGACAAAGTCTTGCTCTGTTCCCTAGGCTGGAGTGCAGTGGTGTGATCTCAACTCACTGGAACCTCCACCTCCCAAGTTCAAGTGATTCTTCCACCTCAGCCTCCTGAGTAGCTGGGATTACAGGCGCCTACCACCACGCCTGACTAATTTTTGTATTTTTAGTAGAGAGGTGGTTTCGTCACGTTGGCTAGGCTAGTCTCAAACTCCTGACCTCTTGGCCTCCCGAAGTGCTTGGATTATAGGTGTCAGCCACCACACCCAGCCTAAACATGCTTTAATATAGGGAATGATGTGCTTAAAATCATTAAAAGGATTGGGGGCACACAGAAGGCAGGGGTTACTAGAATTCCTCCCAGATCGACAGTGCAAAACTGACCATCTTGGGGAGCTACTACCACTTCTATAACAAGTGGGAAGCTAGGGAACAAGAAAGCCACAGTCTTGGCTGTGGGCTGCAGGACTGTCCCATCTCAACTGAGATCCAGGGATCGGAAAGCTGTGGGCTTGGCTCCAGAGTGTGCTGCAGTTTTGGGATTCACACCAGTGTTGTGATTGCCTTACACCCTGTCCTATCTCTCCCAGCTCAGCTAGGTTCCAAACTAAAACCTGGCATACGTGCATCTGAACAGCAAAGCCTAAATCACGTTTGAATCCCTATCAAGTGTAGTCACAGACATACAGGTTTTTACTTTCTCTGTGGTTTTCGTTTATTTTTTGTTTGTTTGTTTTACTTTCCAGCCTCTGCCATCCAGGAAGGCTCACCAGAAACAGCTGGAAGAGATGCTGAGCATACCAATCAGAATCTTATGACCTGCAAGGTTGCTATGGTCTGAATGTTTGTGTCCCCCGCAAAATTCATATGTTGGAACCCAACCCTCATGGTGTTAGCACTAAGAGGCGAAGCCTTTGGGAGGCTATAAGGTCATGAGGACTTTGCTCTCATGAATGGGATTAGTTTCTGCATAAAAGAGGCCTGAGGGATCTTCTTTGCCTCTTCCGCCATGAGGACACATAGAAAGCACCATGTATGAGGGACAGACTCCCACCAGACGCAAAATCTGCATGTGCCTTGAACCTCCCTGCCTCCAGAACTCTGAGCAGTATATTTCTGTGGTTTCTGAGTTACCAGTCTCAGGCATTTTGTTAGAGCCACCAGAATGTACTAAGACAGAAGTCCCTGTCACCATTTTCCCCTGATGCTCTCCTCTAACTCTTACCTCTGTATTACAGTGCTTTTCCTGGAAAGGTTTCCGTTCTCACTGCCTCAACTTCCTAACCTTCCACTCCTTTCTTAACCTACAAAATATTACTGGGGCCAGGCACGGTGGCTCACATTTGTAATCGCAGCACTTTGGGAGGTGGAGGTAGGTGGATCACTTGAGGTCAGGAGTTCGAGACCAGCCTGGCCAATATGGTGAAACCCCATCTCTGCTAAAAAAATTATATATATATATATACACATACACACACAAAATATTATTGCACCTCTGTTGAAACACCTCATATCACAGGACCCATCCAATCTCTCTGCTTTTTTCCCCTTCTATCACCCCTCCACTCCTATTTAATGTCTTCAAAGTTCCGCATTTAGCACCTCACTCTTCTAAGTCTGTATACAGGTATTGATCGACTTACGACCTATGTAACGTACGACCATTCGACTTTACGACCACAATTGCTAGCCACGACTGCTCCGTGTCTGGCAGCGCAAACGTTGCCCAGCTGGGCGTACGACAGTGCAGACCAGCTTCTGGCAGCACTACCATCTCCGAGTGCATATAGCCTACGCAACTTACGACCAAATCGTGTTGTGACCGGTCTGTCGGAACCAATCGTGGTCGTAAGTTGAGCACTGGCTGTATTCTGATCCTATCTACCTGTACGGCCTTATCTACCATAGGGGTTAATCCCCCATACCCTAAGGCCAAACATCACATCTTTTCCAAGAAAAAACTCAGATCTCCAACGGCATCCTGAGTGTGTCCACCTCAATATCACAAGCGCCTCAAATGCAACATGTCCAATACTAAATTCATTGTCTTGTCATTATTTGAATCTGATATTCAAAATCTGTTCTTCCCCTCTGTACTATCTGTGTGTAACCTGCACAACTTGACCCACACGCTGAAGCTAGAGCCCTGGAAGTAAATTTGATTCTTCTCCTGTTACTAAATGCAAACTGTCTCGAAGGACGATAAATTCAATGTAAGACTTTTACCTGAGTTCTGAGTTTAACAGTTGCTCTTTAAAGAAAGACCTCAGACATGCACATTCTAGCACTTTATTGGAAATTGATTGTGTACATCAATGAGATCCCATCGAAGTAAAAGCATCATTTTCACACAGTAATATCCTGATATCTGTGCTATCTTCTTACATAATTTACTAAATTGCAAGATGCTCCTAATATTGGTATTGAAGAGTTTGAATGGTCCAGAAATATCTCTACATAAATATAAATTATCACATCTAAAATAGCCATCATTGTTTTGGTAGGTCCCAAAAGTCCCGGGAACATCTCTTAAAATACAATTGCCTTAGGCTGGCTGCAGTGCTGGTGGGAGGGAGTGAAGGGGGTACACATGGAGCTAATTACAGCATTAGCTAGACAGAGGGACACACACAAGGAGTTGGGGGCCAGAGACCCCAAAAGCTGGGCAGGGAACTCCACCACCCTGCATATGCCAACATGGTTTGAGTGTCAAAGCTAACAGACGTGAGACTCCAGAGCAGAAAGAAGCCCATCACCCCAACTCCCTTGGCAGTGCCCAAAGATGGCACAGTCATCCTTCAGATTACACAAGGGCAGAGATTCTGGCATAGAGAAGGTTCTGGAAAGCTCTACCCATCTCCCTCCAAACTGAGAAAACATGAAGGAATGGCACCTTAAAGAAAATAACTTTGAGGCAAAGTCCTGCTGGCCCCTTGGGATGGGGACGGGGTGCTTGCTTGGTTTGGTTTGACCTGAGGGGCACTGGCAAAGTCTGCGCTGCCCCCAATATCTCCCTCACCACCTTTAAGGCCATCATAAAGAATCAGTTTCTCTGGTTCTTCAAAGCTTCTCAGCATTCAGCATAACACCTTTATATCTGTGGTAGTTTTACTGCTCACATAGCTTTCACTTCCACTAAGTCAGGTGGTTCCCACACCCCTGTGAGGTAGGAAGGGCAGGGATCACCATCCCCATTTGAAAGATAAGGAACCTGGAACTCAGAGAGTTAGGTCCCTTGACCAAATTCACACAGCTGGCTCATGGCAGAAATCAAAACCAGAACTCAGGTCCATGCCCCAAAGTCCCTCCTGCTGCTTTTCTGAAGACAGGAAGAGGCTGGGGACAGGATGCCTGTCCTCATCCATCACCTGGCCCTCTTGGGAGGCTCTCAAACAGCCCCACTGAGAATAGGATGAGTCCGCATGCGATAGATGATGACTGCAGTGGCTGGGCACAGCAACAAGGAGGTCATGATGACAATGGTGGCTAGGATGATGAGGACAATAACCCAGATATCCAGGATGTGCTTGGGAAGCACGACTTCCATGGGGACTTGGCTGACTGCGTCCATGTTGCTTCACTCTGCAACAGACAAGAAAGGAAGATCACTGTTGTGTACGCTCCCTGCCTCCCTGGTTAGAAGGAAACCCTCAGGAGTCAGAAGCCTGGGTCGCTTACCGGATATGCAAACTTTAAGGTTCCCTGATTAGTAATTATAATGGCTTCGTTTACTGAGGGCTTCCTATTGCCAGACCTATGCTGGACACTTGATGTTTATTAACTCATTCAGTCATTACTTGAACCATTAACCCTTTGAGGTAGGGACCATAATTACTGTTTTCTATTTCTTGGCTTTTACCTTCAGTTATACCCACTTTACAGATGAGGACTCTAAAGCCTTAAAAGACAAGAGGTCATTAATTTGACCAAGAAAGTGAACCCAGATGGGTGGGACGCCAGAGCCTTCCTGCTTAACTATTAAGCTACCACACTACCAGTCTGTTCTCTCATCTATAAAATGAGAAATGCATTGTTTTTGGTCCTATACCCCTTAACCCATTCTCCCCTTTCTGGGGAGAACCTACCTATTCTGTATGGTTTAGTTGGGACACTGACCTGAACACAGAGATGGATATGTGACCCAGAGTTGACCATTATAAATCTCCATAACCACAGTTCAGAGTTAGGAAAGTGACTCAGGCTAGGTCAACCAAAGTCTTCCCCCCAGAGCTTTTGTGCACAAGCTCTTAGGAAAGACGATCCTTTCTCCTTGGATTGCTAAACTGAAAGGATGTGAGTCTGGAGAGAATTGGCCTGAAGCTATCTCTCCCATAAGCGGCGAGCCCCTCCTAGAGCTGGAAAGATAGATGGAGCCTCAAGTGGCCTCATGTGAGCACCTGAATCCAGCCAAGATTGATGCCATCTGCAACTCTAGACATGCCAGATATATGAGCCAATAATTCCCTGTTTTTGCTTAAGCAGTGTCTATTTCGTGTCTTTCACTTGCAGTTAAAAGAGTTCGGATGGATAAGGATATAAACCAGCTGTTCCCAATCGTTTTCAATTCACAGTATCTTTAGTGTCTTAGTCATTTTTTAACAGCACCCCAGGTCAAAATAAATACCAAGAAGTTCCATTTATTAAGTAGTTAGTAGTAGTGTTAAGTAGTTTTATTTTTCCATAAGCTATTGGGGTACAGGTGGTATTTGGTTATATGAGTAAGTTCTTTAGTGGTGATTCGTGAGCTGTTGATGCACCCATCACCCATGTATACACTGCACCATATTCATAGTCTTTTATCCCTCACCACCCTCCTACTCTTCCAAGTCACCAGAGTCCATTGTTTCATTCTTACGCCTTTGCATCCTCCTAGCTTAGCTCACACATATCAGTGAGAACATACGACGTTTGATTTTCCACTCCTCAGTTACATCACTTAGAATAGTCTCCAATCTCATCCAGATCACTGCAAAGGCATTTAATTCATTCCTTTTTATGGCTGCATAGTATTCCATCATATATATATAACACAGTTTCTTTATCCGCTCGTTGATTGATGGGCATTTGGGTTGATTCCATGATTTTGCAATTGTGAATTGTGCTGCTGTCATCATGCATGTGCAAGTATATTTTTCAAATAATGACTTCTTTTCTTCTGGGTAGATACCCAGTAGTAGGATTGCTAGGTCAAATGGTAGTCTTACTTTTAGTTCTTTAAAAAATCTCTACACTGTTGAAAGAAATCATAGATGACAAAATCAACCAATTTAATACATATTTATGGCCTAACAACTTAGGAGCTGTTTGCAAAAAAAAAAAAAAATACACACAAAAAAGGTTTTATTTTCATTCATAACTAGTTACTAATGGAATATATGAACCTGCTGATCACTGTGTAACTTTTGAAACTTTGGAATAATATTGGACAATGCCATCCTCACTTATTATTTCACATTAATTTTTGCCCAGTACTTGCTATACCACACAACCACCAAAAAATCAACTTCGGGTTAGGTGCAGTGGATCACGCCTATAACCCCAACACTTTGGGAATCCGAGGTGGGAGAATTGCTTGAGCCTAGAAGTTCAAGACCAGCCTGAGCAACATAGTGAGATGTCGTCTCTACAACATTTTTTTTTTAATTAGCTTGGCATGGTGGCTTGCACCTGTAGTCCCAGCTACTTGGGAGGCTGAGGTGGAAGGATTGCTTCAGCCCAATAGCTCCAGGCTACAGTGAGCCATGATCACACCACTGCACTCCAGCCTGGGTGACCAAGCAAGACCCTATCTCAAAAAAAATTTATTTTCATCAACTTCATAAATTATAACATTAACAAAAGGAATGTAGTAAGATTAAACTGTGAACTATCTTAAGCTAGTCATTTGTAAAGTGTCTGAGAGATGTCACATACCACTATTTCTGTCAAAAATCTTAAAACTCCTGCAGCACTCCCCTCCTTCCAGTGAGTTCACTGGGGCTCCCAGGACACTTCAGTGCACAGCTTGGGAATCATTGATGTAATACATGCCCTGCCCAGAGGGTGCAAGGCTAGAACAATCTCCTGCAGTTTCTTTCAAAAGTAAGATTGATATTTCTGTGATTCATGTGTGGCTCCATGTCTGCTGTTGCCACCCTAAGTAAGATACTGATCAACCAAATTGAATACCCAAAGGAGAGTACCCAAGAAATACGTACAAAGATGTTACTTTCTGCGTCATTTGTTCAGGTAACACACACAGCAAGTGTCCACTAATAGTAAAATAAAGAAGGGTATATCTATATGATGGAATGCCATGCAGCAATTTTTGTGTATCCATTCACTCACCCATTCATTCATTCATTTAACAACCATGTAGTGCTTATTCCACATCAATCATTGTTCCAAGTGCACTACAAATATTAATTTACCTAACTAATACAGCTGCTCTGGAAAACACAATGGAGGTTCCTCAAATAACTGAAAATAGAGTTACTGTATGATCTCAGTAATCTCATTTCTAGGCATATAACCAAAGGATTTGAAATCAGGATGTCAAAGAGATTTCTGCACTCCCATATTTATTTCGGCATTATTCACAATAGCCAAGTTATGGAATGAACCTAAGTGTCTATCAACCATGAATGGATAGAGATAATGTGGCATATACTCAATGGAATACTATTCAGCCTTGGAAAAGAAGAAAATGAGTGCCATTTGCGACAACATAGATGAACATGAAGACATTATGCTAAAGGATATGAACCAGGGACAGAAAGACAAATACCTCAAGTTCTCATTTATTTATGGAAGCTAAAACTATCAGACACATAGAAACAGAAAGCAAAAGGGTGGTAATGGGAGGGTGGAGGGTGGGGGGGGGGTGGGGAGATGTTGGTCAAAGGCTATTACATTTCCGTTAGGCAGGAGGAATAAATGAAAAATATTTGAGATTTAAAAATTTAATTTATTTATTAGTCATTTAAGAGGAATCTAATCTGTAATGAGTGCCAAAAGATGTGGAAAAAATAAAAATGAAGTGGATTTCAAGTGGAAAAAATAAAAATAAAGTGCAACAGTGTGTGTAGGATGATTCCTTTGGTTCATATTTTATAGAATTAAGTAGGTAAATGGGTGAGGATATATACAGGAAAATTACTTTCTGAGTGTACTCTCAGGAAAATGTTAACAGTGGTTACCTTTTCAAGAGCTGGACTAGGAATGAGAGGTTTTGCTTTTCATTCTTCGTTCATAAAACATGATTTTATGACATTTGAATTTTCGCAACATGAGCATTTATTACTTCTGATTTTTTTATGCCAACTGGGTTAAGGAAACAGAGGCTTTTTTGAGGTTTTATCTTCATAATTCTTTGTCTTAAAGAGTAAAAATATACATATACAATTTTAAAATCAAATAAAATTAAGAGATGAGACTAGAGCAGTAGTCACCAAATGCCATATGCCCTAGTAAGTGACCTCAAGGCAGTATAAAGGAACACTGACTTCACTGACCGGGCATGGTGGCTCACGCCTGTAATCCCAGCACTTTGGGAGGCCGAGATGGGTGGATCACCTGAGGTCAGGAGTTCGAGACCATCTCTACTAAAAATACAAAATGGTGTATTGGTGGTGGCAGGCACCTGTAATCCTAACTACTCGGGAGGCTGAGGCAGGAGAATCTCTTGAACTCGGGAGGTGGAGGTTGCAGTGAGCTGAGATGGCACCACTGTACTCCAGCCTGGGTAACAAAGTGAGACTCCATCTCAAAAAAAAAAAAAAAACACTGATTTCTGGGTCTCATTCTATGCATATTGAATTAGGCTCAAAAGCGGATGAGGAAGAGCCTTTTTCCCACTGCCAGGTGATTGCAGCGTGCAGTCAGATTTGCAAACCTCTGGACTCAACACCTTTAAGACCTCTAGGACCCTCTCTGGCATTAAGATTTGGAAATTGATTCCCAGGTGCTCTGTAGCCAGGCTGGGCAGATCTGGGCAAGTTCCCAGATGAAGGAGAAGCCTCTGACAAAGTTCTCCAGGGCCGTAGGATGATCTGCTGAGGCTTGCCGAGGAGACAGAAGCACAGGCTGGCCCTGTCTCAGCCTAGGAAATGGAGTAACTTTCTCCAAGGTCTAAGACACAGAAGCATGAGTCACAGGAGCCTGAAACGGTAAGCTGACCGGGGGCGGGATAAATCATTCTTTGTGGTCTCCTAACTACATCATCAGCTAGCTGCCTTAGACTAAAGGAACCCCATGAGAGCCCTTTCCTGTAAACCCATTCACATGAAACAGTCTTCATGACTTCAAATGCCAGGAATACAAATGCCTGGCTGATTTTCACGAGTAAAACCTGTCATATACAGGAACTCAGGCTTCAGGGCTCATCCACAATCAAGAATCCTAGAACATTAAAGCTAGAACCAGTCCCATTTCACAGATGGGGAAACTGAAGTCCAGGGGTCTTCTCCCTCCTGTATTCTTACTTCTTAATGGAATAATCATTAAAATACATAAATCTGATTATCTCACTGCCTCTAACTAAAACAAAACAGAACAACAACAACAAAAAAAAACCAGAGCAAGTAGATGAATAAATGAAATTC